TGGCTGGTTTATAATACTGTAAGATGTTCTTGTGTTAGCTTCGCCTTAAAACTTACATAAATATAATACCCGCTGGGACATGTAACCAAACAACAATAACTCGGAACTTTCTGTTTTAAAATACAAAAATCGTACTGAAAGCACTTAAACTGTGGCACGTACAAACTCAACAGAGAGCGCCACCATACAGAATGTATTGGAGTTTTATGTGGAGTAAAAAAAAAAAAGCAAAAAAAAAAAAACCAGCGTTGATATGTGTCGTTTTCGAAATCCTGCAAGGTCAGTTCAAAAAGACTATATCCAATTACCAGCACTTCAAGTGATTGGCTTCGCACACAATCTTACGTCAAAATATATTATACAAGTATGTAAATATCCTTGTTGGGCCTTCAGTTTCCTGTCAAATATCACATTCTCAGGAAATTGGCCGATTTATATATATACTAATATTTGCCTTGTTCTAAGTTTGAAACCTGGGAACGATAAGAACGACTTATTTTGTTATCTTAATTTCTCTACTCTTTCTCGTTGAGTAGAGGATATTAAAATTGTGAACATTCCAATTTTCCTTTGAAATAATATTGGTGAAGTAACTATCTTTAAAGATAGTTGTGTAGCAACATCGCTTCCCATCCTTCAAATGACCACAATATAGTGTCATGGAGTGAACAAATTTGAAACAGTCAAAACCGAAAGTCGAGAAACGAGTGTTTAACAAAACTGGTGCGTATATTCAACCTCTTTCTTACTGTTGTTTGTGGGTGTTATTGTAATACTTAAATAGTTTTTTTTTTTTAATACGAAGCTTCACAATAGGATATCTGCACTCTATCCGCCATCTACAGTCGAAATCCGGATTTCAGAGTTGTAAGTCCGTAAACTTACCGGTGATACACACATGTAGTTATACACTCATACATGATGTGTAGCCCCCAAGTAGCACAGCGGTGTGTCTGCGGACTTACAACGCTAGAAACTGGGTTTCTATATCCGTGGTGGGCAGTGCACAGATAGCCCATTGTGTAGCTTTGTGCTTAACTTCAAACAACAACATACTGTATAGTTAGATAAGTCTACGTTGGTGGTAAAACCAGTGTAGGAGCTCGTATCGTGATACAGAAGTGAAGCCTTAATTGAGCATTTATGTTTTAATTTTTCGATATTCAATTAATTTTCCCAACATAAAAATCATTGAAAGTATAAATACCAATAAGAAATAAACAAAAAAAAACTTACTTTAATATATTAATTTACAATAATTAGTTTATTTTGATTGTGGGGATGAATGACCTAGCATCAATTTTTGCGATATAAAAAAGAAGTAATATATTACGTAAAAAATAAAATTAAGAAAAATATATTTAAGATTTTGTTGTATTTAGTTAAAAAACAAGATGAAATTATAAAGTATAATGATTAAATGTTGAGGTTCCTTTACACAACTAATCATAAAACTAATATTAGTAGAATATACTGTTACGTCTCCGTTTGTTAATTAACTTTCCGTAACTTCGTTCCGACGAAATTTTAACGACACAAGTCTTTACTTAATAAAACTGGTTTATTCTTTCCGAATATAACTTTACCGATACACTCAACTTCAACAATCGCGCTAAACAAACGCTATAACAACGAACGTCAATAATACTGCTGACTGCAGATCAATTACTCACTGTCTACACACACTACATTGCCTTTCTGCGTCACGTTGTCCCTTCTTATATATACCCGCCTACCCCATCTAGCAAACACTAGAGCATTCCTGAAGAAACAAGATAGTTCTAGAAACGTGTCGTCACAGTGGTCATGTGACTCGCTGACGCAACAATACATTAATATTGCAGGCCTACAACTAACACTAATATTTTAATACGTATATAATTGTTGGGATTCTACATACAATGACCAATTCAACAGGTGGTTAGGGCGTTCGACTCGCAATCTGAGGGTCGTGGGTTCGAATCCCCATTCCACCAAACATGCTCGTCCTTTCAGCCATGGGGGCGTTATAAAGTTACGGTCAATTCCAATATTCGTTGGTAAAAGAGTAGCCCAAGTGTTGGCGGTGGGTGGTGATAACTAGCTGCCTTCCCCCTAGCCTTATACTGCTAAATTAAGGACGGCAAGCGCAGATAGCCCTCGTGTAGGTTTGCGCGAAATTAATAAAAAACAATCAAAAGCTGATATTAAAGTATAAATATACATTTATTTACTAATTGAACGTGAAAAAACCAAGATTTTGTCATAAAACTCACGTCAACTGCATTTTCCCCCACATTCCTCTTTATCTGTCCACTCAAGTTCAAAATAAGAGATGTGTAAAGACTGTGTTGCGTCTCCGTTCGTTAGTTAATTTTCCGTAACTTCGTTCCGACGAAACTTTAGCGACAGAAGTCCTTTCTTAAATAAAACTGGTTTATTCTTTCCGAAATTAACTAACGAACGGAGACGCAACAAACTGGTGTCAGAAGTGGGATAAAAAAATGAAAACGAGAAGCGGCAAATCAAACTACAGCTTAGCAGACTTGACGGCAGCAATACAAGAACAGCAAAAGAAACAAGAAGAACGAGAAGAGAAATTACAACAGTTGTTAGAGGAAAAAGAAAAGAAACAAGAAGAGAGACAACAGCAGTTGCAAGAAAACCTGCAACAGTGGCAGCTCGAACAACAAAATAAACAAGAAGAGAGATTACAGCAGTGGTTGGAGGAAAAAGAAAAGAAACAAGAGAAATTACAGCAGTGGTTGGAGGAAAAAGAAAATAAACAAGAAGAAAGATTACAGCAGTGGCAACGGGTTATAATGTGACGGTCAATCCCACTATTCGTTGGTAAAAGAGTAGCCCAAGAGTTGGAAGATTTGATATTATTTTGGTGATCATGTTGTACTTCTTCATGTCGAATGGGTAGTTTGTTTAAGAAATTTGTCCACAGAAGCATTTATATAAGACTAGACAAGTAAGCAAAACATGTAGGACAGTCAGAATCAAATTTAACAAAACTGGGTAACAAACTTCACAGTGAATTGTAGACGTATTCTAGTGGGAGAGGTATCTACAGAACCCATAAAGATTTAACTGCTATTTGCAAACCTGTTAAGTTACAACTTATAGTTAGAGCAGATAGCAGTTTAGACATATAATTCTGCGAATTTAAAAGCATATCTTTCACTTTACAAATGATATTGGCAAAGTAACTTAGGTACCGTATATATATATATATATATTCACAAGTTTATACAGGGTTAAGTATGTTATACTGTAACGACTTTGAATATGCACAACAACAGGTGACGTGACAACAACAATCGACATAAAGACGCAGTAGAATAGCATGGAGATATTTTGGAGATAGCTTGATGCCACCAAAAATTGGACGTTTTTGGGAAGAGTATGAATCAACCCCTTTCTGACCAAAATATTTATTCATTCAGATCATAAACATGTGTTTATATCGTGGATATATAAGTTCCAAGATGGGATGTCCCTTGTACCTAATGGCATTTGCAAACAAAAGAATATTGATCAATTTGGAGCACCAAGACAATCTACAAAGATTCTTGCAACAAGTTGTATCCTAGCTGTGTTATCTGAGTGTTGCGTCTTATAACAGGTGAGAATCCAGGAACACAAGGGTGAGTGACAAAAGCCGTCCACATGCCCCAGATAACAGTACATATGAAGAATCATCAGTAAACAAGGCCAATAGAGTGCGGGTTCGCCAAGATAAGGCTTCCAATCATACCTTCCTTATGTCTTCGTATGGAATACCTTTAAATACTCATTTCATGTTCCAGCTGCTTGAAGTATGCGACGATATATTTGTTCAGCCGTCAGACGCAGTGGCTGAATTTATCTGTGATTAAACTGTTGAAATGGGTTCTGGGAAATTGTCGTCCTCTTACACTAGATGGATTATGGAAAACATTCAGAAATATATGGTGTGCTTTGAACATGGCAGTCTTACAAGAGAGTCTTTTGCAATGGAACTACGCTGTATAATTTCAAGATACACCTCCAATCATGCTCTATATGTGTCGACATAAACTGTAACGATGTAATGTGGTACTAATATCGTTAAAATATAACGTACTCAACCTTCAGTATTACTTAAAAGCCATTGATTCAAAGACTGGGTACCTTAAATACTGAATGTTTTCACTCCTGAACCCAAAATAAGATTTTTTATGTATTTTGTATGCAAGTTATCTTCTATTCGTACATCAATGCTCATTTTGCTAACATTATTGGTTATATTTTTGTAATATTGATAATATATCTACTTTTTAACTTTTATTATCTTTTTTTGTTTCGTATTCTGATAATTATTTTGCATTATTAGCTTTATCTATGGATTAAGGACTAAGCTGAATGTCGTAAGTTGGCCGAATCTCGTGAGAAATTATTGGGACTACGGCCGAAAACATCGCTAACAATGAGGGTACTTTACTGATGAATCAATGCATTCTAATCATTATAAGTAGAAATGGTATATTAATGTATCTGTATTATTTGCTTAGTTCTGATCTAAGTAGGTAACTTGTTTTGATCAAAAGTTAATCATAGCCCTACCTGTCCTAATTAACTGTGAGATTATTTGTGAAAAGCCTATATTTTTTATACATAAATCACTTATCAATAAGACTCTTCATATTACTATATACAATTTACCAAAGTGAAATTGGGGCAAACATGCATTTTTCAATACATAAGTTTTGTCTAAGTTTTTTTAATTAAACTTTTATATACTCATTTTTCGTCATTTCAGAATATAAGCCTACATACTGCTGTGTTAGATAGTGATATCAATGTTATTAAGTAAAGGAGTTAAGATTTACATCAGTTCCGCAAGATACACATAAACATAAATTGGTATTGCTGTCTAAAGTGAATGCATTTGTATTTACATTCTCTCGATAAAACTCCTCCGCTTGATATACACGCATACGTCTTCACTTATTCTCAAATGTATGCTCGTCTTAATGATAAATTACTTCTTTCAGGTGAAACATGGCCATTCTCGACGTTGCTGGTGTGTTCTAATTGGCCGAATGTTTCTGTATTTCAAAACACCCAAAGATACTGTAAGTATGCTTCTGTTTTAGATGGCCTCTTATTTAAGTTAAATTATGGCGATCGGATGTTGATCATTGTCATAGTTAGTGGCTTGTAGGAGCACTTACATTTAATTGTTATTTGGTTGTTTATAATATATTTAATTACAAGATGCTGATTACTAACTAGCTTTTCTCTACGTTTCGGATACTAAGCTGCTTCCATTTTCAGGAAAGTACTGAGATGGACTATTTCTGTGATGATAGCAGGCACGATTCAATCCTGGGCCTTCTTCATAAAAAGTCTGGTGTACTATCCACTTATCTCCTCCATTAAGAGTTGAATTAACTGACCTATTTAAATGCTTTAAACGCGGATAATCAGGTATTTCGGGCTTTTTGTTGCCCCCTAGTGGCACAGCGGTATGTCTGCGTACTTAAAACGCTTGAACCCGGGTTTCGATACCCGTGGTTAGCAGAGCACAGATAGCCCATTGTGTAGCTTTGTGCTTAATTTCAAACAAACACACTTTGTGTTAGGTTGATTGAATGTGTTATCAGTTTGGTGCGTGTGGAAAACCTCCTTTATCTTTCTTTTTCGTGTGTATGTATGTTTCGTTCGCCATTAGCTTAGTATTTTTCTAATTTTTTGTGTAGTATTTGTATGTGGCACGATGGGGTATCTATATAAATATAATAGTACTGTTTGTTGTCTGTCCATGTAACTACTTCTCAGGGTGTGGATGGATCTTCACTAAAATTGGTATGGAGGTTCATTAGGTCCATGTGGGGGTACATACACATTTTCAGTTTTGCATTTCGCGGTTTTTATGGGCGTTTTTTATCACTTCTTCGCATCCTGTTGTTGGATCTTCACCAGATTTGGTAAAGCCCGGCATGACCAGGTGGTTAGGGCGCTCGACTCGCAATCTGCAGGCCGCGGGTTCGAATCCCCGTCACACCAAAACATGCTCACCCGGTGTCCGGACTTGGACGCCAGTCCTACTCCCAGATACACACCTCCAAAATAATTTGGAGGTGTGAGAAACACCATACGTAACTACTACCAGATTTGGTATGGAGGTTCATTGAGTCCATGTGGAGATACATGCAAGTTTTCGGTTTCACATTTTGTGTTTTGCAGTTTTTATGGGCGTTTTTTACAATTACATATAAGGGAAGTAACTTTTCATGTCGTAAGATAACCTTTCATTAATCATGAATTCACATAACTTCCGTCGAGTGGACTGGTACTTCAGCTAGTTGCTGATAAGTTAATACTACATAGTCTTGTATGTCTATTATGCTACTGAATTCTAACTTTTTTGGTCGTTTGTGTTCCTATAGTGTATTGTACTCCACATCCACGAAGTATATATATACAATAAATAGTGCTTTTGCTCTTTTTTGGGGTTTGCTGTGTACTAAATGCGTTCGTATTGTGTGTTGGCTTCTGAATATTTTTCTGATTTTTTGTAATTTATATTTCTTCTGTATGCTTTCAGAGAGATCTCTTACATAGGCGAATATCATTGTATATAAGTAATTTTCTTTCTCTTCGTTCTTAGTTTCATCTTTTTCAGTTTCTTCTTTACTAAATGTTCTTGCCTTAAACTCAAGGAGGGTCGTTTTTCTTATTTCTTCTTAACCTCTTCGGTGTTCTGAAAGTTAGACAGTCTATGTCATCTGTCTTTACAACTTTGGAATGATTTGATTTATAGTTGATGTATTTATCCGTACTTGTTGGTTTCCTGTAAATTCCTGAGATACATGTCTTGATAACTATTACATTTAGCAATGGGAGCTTATCTTCTTATATTTACAGTGTGAGTTGTATCGTGGGGTTGTTATCCGTTCTGGATTATTTTCTGTATAGTTTTGTGACCGTATTAAGAATGAGCCGTCAACATGTCTAAGATAAATCCTTAGACTTGGATCGACTGTTCTGAGGACGTTATCTTTGAAATGTTCCATATAAAGGTTAATGAGTACTGGTGATAGAGGTAAGCTGATTATGCTTTCGTGTTGTTGGTAGTACGCTAGTGTATTGGTTGGATAAATCGAAAATGATAAATATGTCATATAAATCGGACTGAGTTCTTAACATGTGAGGATGTTTTACATGTTAGTAGAGATATTATATCCATACTGAAGATATCCAGCTAATAGAAGAAGACATGTTGAATCTCTGTAGTTAAGTATGAGACAGAGAAGGTAGCCTTGCTTGTGAATTGTAGGTAGATTATAAATGTGTGGGTTTTGATTGTTTCATTTCCAAGTTCTTAATCGTTATCTCTTGAGGTATAGTGTTAGATTTTGATTTTTAATTTCTAAATTCTTTATCATTATTTCTTGAGGAGTTGGTTGTTGTTTTTTTCTGAATGTTAACGGTTGAGTCAGACTTGATATTTGTATAGTGGCCATCTTCAGTTAGAGTCTGGAATTTGGTGGAGTATCTTTCTTTGATCATATTTAGATATGGTTATGCCTAGACCGTAGAGGTCTCTAATGTGGTCATTTAGCCCATTGCATAAGGTGTAGTTGAAGCGAATAACTACACATAATTCCAAGTAAAACAGACACATAACTCCTAATAATACGAGGCTTACAGATAAAATAAATGTTTGTTTGTTTGTTGTTAAACAAGAAGCTACACAATGAGCTATCTGTGCTGTGCTGTGCTCACCACTAAAGTACATGCCAGTACCTTGTTTGAAATATGTCACAAGCTCCGTTTGCCCGGAGGAGTTTTTGAATATTGTTTAATCCAACTTGACAATTGTTTATTTTTTATTGTAAATAATAGTTTGATCTGAATATTAATTCAACTTTACTTAACCAGTAATTTTTATATTTTTTTTAAACCTAGTTACCATCATTATTCTTTGGTCATGGCTACTGCACTGTTAATATTGTCATGCTCGATTCTTGCGCTTAATACACAGATTTGCTTAAATTAGTCTTCTTTAAACTGTTAGTCAAGGCTGGATGTTACATGTATTAACCATTTGTAAACACATTAAGTAGGTTGTTGTTTTAAATGACTATACAATGAATTATGTTAGTTATGATTAACGTGTTTTTTACTTTAAGTTATTGTGAAAGTTCTGTAATATCCTTACATCTTACAAATATATGTATAATTTTTATTCAGTCTCTCAAATCTGGCGTATTGAACGTAGTCTTATTTTATAACCGGTTATTAACGGTGAGAGATATTTTCTTTTAGTGCATGAACTAGGATTACTTATTTGCAAATACAGTTTACTAGATGCAGTTTGCGTGAAAATTATTCACACTTAAATAACGTTTTAAACATTTTTTTTCTTCTTCAGACTCCGATGGGTCAAATTAACATGAGGGATTCTCGAGTAGAGGAAGTTCTCCACGTGTCCGACAGTGATGAAGAGGAAGAGACGATGAGTAGATCAGAATTCACCGTCGGTATATTCTCTAATTACCAGGGACCAACCTACCTTTTGATGACAAACAAGCAAGAAATGGTAATATTTAACATTTTCATTGACTGAAGAAGGTCTTAACGAAAAATTATTTTTTTAAAAACTTAGAAGTTTTTTTTATGTGAGTATGTTTGGTTTTGATTGCTGTGCTAAGAAACATATCGTATATGAACTAAGAGAAAATATCACGATCTCAAATAGAAAGATTCGATTCTGCTGCACTTATTAAATTTCAGTTATTGTATGTAGCTATTTATCACAAACTTACAACGCTAAAATCCGGAGTTTGATTCCCCCGGTGGTTAGAGGACAGAGAGCCCTTTGTGTAACATTACGCTAAAAACAAACTATTGGAAAATCATGTGACTTTCTCTGGTAAAAAAAACAACAAATGTATTTATTTTAATAATGATAATTACGTTATATTAACGTACATCTTTGATCTTAGTTGTTATTGAATCGTCTGCCTGAAATAATTATACCGGAGGATTAACATTTTGACAGACATACACTAACCAAGGTTTGCTGTTTGAGCTTTTACCTGATTTTATGCGTAGATAATTAGACGTAATTCGTTTAATCTTCTCTTGTGCAACGTTTACTTTTCTTCTTATAATAAAACCTCTGTAGAGATTTTATTTAGACGTAATACATTCTGTTAGTGTGAGTTTCAATGCAAATAAAGGGGATTCCAATATTTACAGGACGCCTGGCTATATCATCTGACAGTAGTGTCCTCTGGCGAGAATTTAGCAGGAACTCAATACGAACAACTCATAGCAAGGCTGATGGAAGTTGATGGAGATGAAAGTAAGAATATTCATGATAAAATGCTTTATTGCAAAATTTTGATATTAATTGAAAAATAACTAGCAAATATGTTATTGCTGAAGACAAATGACAAAATACATGCTGCAATTTATAACTGTAAAGAAAATAATGCTGTACTTTTCTAGATTACAAGTAACTTGTATAAAAAATAAATAGCTAAACCTGTACTTTATCATTATTTTCGTTTTTACTTTTACCCAGCTTTAGACGTAAACAAAAATTTACCTATCTGTCACATAACAGAACCTTAGTTATGTGAACAGGACTTTATTTGTTATCTGTCGTGAACAAAACTGACCAGTGATTATTATGGAACGTTAGGCGACAAAACGTTAAATATTGCAGTTACTGTATATGGTTCTTCTTTCAGATAGTGTAATTTGGAGGCACCCTTTGTTACTGTTCTCTAAAGAAAACATAACGCAACCACTGACAACCTTACCGTCCGAACAACTTCAAGCCGAGGGGATCAAGCTGTTTAAGGTTTTGTATTCTGTAATAGTTTCTTTGTGGGTTATTGTATTCTGTAATAGCTTTTGTCTAGATTATTGTTTGTGTTTGGCAAACTGCTATCGGTGTTAATCATTCGTAATATAAATAATTTTTGTCTCTAAAACATATGTGCAGCGGCCTCTGGTAGCACATACATACAATTAGTAATGTAAAATACACAGTACAGTGTATGTTAGCTAAAGGAACAAAACACACACACAAAGACTAGGAAACTAATTTCAACACTTACATGTGTTCTCTTTATTTCTACTGAAGAGTCTACTGCAGTATTTCCCGAAGTGGGGGGCGTGAAGCTTTTTCTGGGGAGCCGCCAAAAAATTACCGAAAACAAAGATGCTAAATTAATTTTAATTCTAAATAAACAAAAAACTGATTAAAATTATGTTCAATTAATTAAATGATACAGTATGTCGAAAGGAGATGTTATTGTTTTTACTACGGCACTGTTTTTCAATCACCATGCTAAAGTTATAGGTTGGGGCCTCAAACATTTTTATTCACATCAAGGAAGCCTCAGACTAAAAGAATTTGGGAACCACTGTTTTACAGGACTGAAGAGGATACATGAAAGTACCGAATCTAGTTTTCTAGTCTTTTTATTAACATTTTGTTCCAAAAGTAATAAAAATATGCAATTAAAACCGATGTTCATTGACATCTAATGTTATTTTTGAACTACTGTTATTACAAACAGATGTTATATTTGAATTTCTTTTAATTAAGAAGTGGATACATGTTCTTGTAACTATTTATCCATTGACTAAATGTGCCGATACAAGTTAACGTGTACTGTTAAAAATACACAACGGATACATGACATGTTTTCTGGTATGTTTTTGCTTTCTTAGCTTGACATAAAAGCTATAGTTTTATACATGCTCTTATATTTCATACAAAATAGTGTCTTGCTCTAGCTATAAACTGTTCTTTTGTCTGAGTACGTAATAATCATCCCAGTTCATACTCTGTACAAATAACAGACGAAACACGATTACATATATCGGTGCTTTTTTTCCTTCTTCCAGTCCATCCAGCTCTTTATCTCCGTTTCTCTGGACACCTCGGGTATCGATTACCACGTGGCTCTTGCCCAGAATGCCTTGCTACAGTGCCTCACTACCCCTGAGCTACAGAATGAATTTTTTTGCCAGCTGATCAAACAGACGTCTCGCCACGCTTCCCACAAACTCGGAGTTCAAGTCAGAGTTCTTCTTAGAAATGTCGTCCTATGTTCCTAATACACTCTTCTCTGTCTGCTCACAAATAATGATGACTTCTTTAACATAATATTTTTATTAAATACTTTCCATATTCTCGTTGGTTAATATGTGATGCTACTTTTGTGGAAGTGTTCGTTCCCTGTGTGTGTAAATTCATCATGTTTTTTTGTTGTTGTTGCTCGATTAATTTTTTTCTTTGTTTATTGCGTTTTTTTTTTTACTTCGTAGGTTGTTCAAACTTCCCCATTTAACCATCCGTTTTTCCAGTCTTGATGTTTGTTTAGATTTTTACTGTCTTATATCATCCTAGTGATAATACAAGTGCGATATTACACTATAAGTAAAACCAATTTCAGTCTCATCATTCTTTACCTTCCCAGTAGGCCCGGCATGGCCAAGTGGTTAGGGTGCTCGACTCGTTGGTTCGAATCCCCGTCCCATCAAGCATAATGTGACGTTATATTGTGATGGTCAATCCCACTATTCGTTGATAAAAGAGTAGCCCAAGAGTTGGCGGTGGGTGGTGATGACTAGCTGCCTACCCTCTAGTCTTACACTGCTAAATTAGGGACGGCTAGCGAAGATAGCCCTCGTGTAGCTTTGCGCGAAATTCAAAACAAACAAACCTTCCTAGTATGGGTTTCAGTAAGAAGTGCTATTATAAACTGTTTTCGCAAGCAGCCCGTAATGGGCTAGATAAGAATGTAGTATCACACAGATATTACTGCTAAATGTATTATACACCCTTAGAATTAGTTCACTCTTGCTTTTACAGTAGTTTCACAGATTTAGCCCTTATCGCGATGATACACATGAACACAGACTTTCCCCATAGGAATTTAAAGAAACGCTGCAACAGGATAACAAATATATACGTTTTGTTGTTTGTTTTTCTGGAGAAGAAACATAGCTGCATATAGTGAAAGGTGGCAAGGATGTGGATCATTGTGAGCTTGAACACCCAGATCTGCTCTCTGATTACTACAATTATTACTTTCAGTTTGTGAGGCAAGCGAAAGGAGATTAAGTCTGGTAGTAGGTAGTAATTCCCACTACTACGTTGGTCTTACTTTCTCAGACACCTCCAAGACCAGGATACATTTTTCATTTTTTGGTCGTTTAACTTGTGTCCTGATGTTAGTCGTTTTTCTGTTTCTAAGATTCCTTTATTTTGTTTTATATGGAGAAAGGCTTTATCTTGAATTAGTATTTGTTTGTTATCAAAGGTTTGGACAGACTGTTTTTAATGATTTCCTTCTTTTTGGTGTAAAATGTTACTGAACTGTATTTCATGTTTTACATATTACACTATATATAATTCGCATGTTTAAACATGTAACCAAATGAAAAGAGCTAAATGTGTTCAAATATAGTTTCATTTAGGCATATCTGAGGTCATAGGCATCGATTTCGAGTGAACTTTAATATTTTAAATGGGCAGGGTCAACTCCCTCAATAAACATATAGTTTCATTATCATGACTACAAGAAAAGTTTCATATAAATAATTAAATAGATGAATAATTTATCTGCTTTATTTTACAAACTAAGCAAGGAACGTTCTTCACAAAAGAAATCACTTTTGTGAAGTGTGGCTAAACTGTCCGAGTTTGTGTGAGATAGGGAGTGAATTAAGTTTTTTACCTATCTTCTCGAGACTAAGCTGACCCCCACCCAAAGTTTTCATCAAAGTGCTCAAAAATACACAAAAGATACAGATATACAAACTGTCTAGTAACTATAATGTTAACGTTTGTAAACTAACGGACGTTTAATCCACAAAAACACGAATCTCTTAGGCTAGGATTAACTGTTACTTCCACTGTTCATTATACGAGTAAAATATTTACTAGAAACTTTGGAATTATAAAATATCGAATTACTTTGGTCTGGCTTTAGTTTGGAATTATGTTGCATCAAAAATTATTACATTGTTTGATTCTGTTTTAATCCTTTACATTTTAAATATCACAAATTGTGAGTTGTATTTGAAAAACTTCAGTTAAGTAGGCCCGGCATGGCCAGGTGGTTAGGGTCGACTCGCAATCTGCGGGTCGCGGGTTCGAATCCCCGTCACACCAAACATGCTCGCCCTTTCAGACGTGGGGGCGCTTGTGGTACGATCACACGTGTTGCATAATGTAGCTACAAAACCTGTGGCTCGATCACACGTGTTGCATAGTGTAGCTACAAAACTTGTAGATATATTCTGCTCCCCCCTCCCTCTCCATCCCCCAAAAAAGAAATGTGTGTTGAAATTTTTGTAGCTACATTATGCAACACGTGTG